ACTTGTGTTCTTTCTAATTTAGTCTTCATTTTTAAAACTTTTGTCTCTAATTCTCAATTTGTCAAACAACTTTGAATTCTTCTCATACTGATTTTTGTAGTTTGTGTATCTTATGTGATTTTCCTAATGTCTTTAAGCTAATTTTGAAATACTAGGTTATAGTTTTGATCTGTTTTTTGAGCACGTCTTTCTGGTGTACCTTCATTTTCTGTAGGGATGCTATTGAGTTCCCTGGCATTTTTTCCCCCTTGTAGTAACTTGTATGGGATTTAATCATGATACTTTTCAATTTCTCATTTTTATGTGAATTTAATTTTCCTGAACTTTTAAGGGGTTTGCTCAGATAGCTCCAGTAACTTGACTGAGCTCACCTTCTGAAGTTTGCCTCTGCTCCCGTTGTTCACTTTTATATGGACCTTCTCTTTTCTTCACCGCAATTATCCCTGTTTTGCTCAATTTTGATTCTACAGTTTCTCTTGAGTGTGGGACTTGGTTCCAGAAAGGAATCTCAGCTCATCAGCTTTTAGAGTAGATAAAAGCTAGATTATTCCAACCCCTCTAGGCTTTACCAAGTGCTCCTTGCACTTATTCACTTTTTAAGTGGACAATCTTCTAGCTTTAGCTGTTGTCCTCAAATTAGCCCATCACATTTTCCAATAAATATCTGATGGGTGTTTTGGCTGTTTTGGGATCCATCTGTTAGTAAATAAAATGGGTCCTTCACCAGAGAGTTTGAGAAGTGCTGATGAAGGAATCAGAGGAAGGACAGATGAGTATTAGGAGGCTTCATAGGCTTCGTGAAAGAGGTGGATTTTAGGCTGGGCCATGAAGGGCAGTCAAGGTAGGAATGAATGTTGACATTCCCCAGGACTCTGCCATTGGCCTCCATCTCACTTTCTTTGGGGGAGCTCATCCATTCCCATACTTTTAAGCATTGACTTCAAGGAAAACATTCCTCCAGATCTAGGTCTTCAGCCCAGGCTTGTAGAGCCACTTGGAGGTCCCATAAGCATAACAAATTCAGCACAGTCCAAACTAAGCACATGGCTCTCTCCAAAAACTTTGTCACTGCATCCCACGTGTTACGTTTTTATTTTATTTCAAAATATTTTCTAATTTCTCTTGTGATTTTTTTCCTTTGACCATAAGTTATTTAGAAGTATACTGTTTTATTTCCAAATATTTTGGGATTTTTGAAATATCTTTGTTATTGATTTCTAGTTAATTCCATAAACATACTTGTATAGTTCCTTTTCTATGAATTATATTGAGGCTTATTTTATGACCCAAAATATGATGACTCTTGGTGAATGTCCCACATGCACTTGAAAAAATGTGTATCCTGCTGTACTTTGGTGCAGTGCTCTAGAAATGTCAATTAGGTCAAAATGGTTTGTAGTGTTATTCAGATCTTTTATATTCTTACTGATTTGTCTGTCTACTTATCTATCAATTACTAAGACAGGAATGGTGAAATCTCCAAAGACAATTGTGGACTTGTCTATCTTTCTAGTTTTATCAGTTCTATCAGTTTTTGCGTCATCAATTTTGAAGCTCTGGATTTGAAATGCTACATTTAGCATACAATAAATTCACAAATATATATGAGTCTGTTGAGTCTCCTTCTTGACTATTTCGTTCCATTGATCCATTTGTATATCCCTGAGCCAGAATCACATTGTTTGAATTAACTGTGACTTTAGATAATACTTTGATTATTGCTAAGGCAAACAACCTCTCTTCCCCACAATTACCTTTACTTTTTTTAAATTTTTTATTTAAATTCAGTTTAGTTAACCTCTTCTTTTTCAAAAATATCTTGGTTCTTTTCATGTATTTATTGTTCATTTAGAATGCAAGCATCAATGGGTCAAGTTCTTGCTAAGTTAAATCTTAAGTATTTTATACATTTTACATCTCCCTGTTGCTCAGAGGCATTTTTCCTATTGAAGATATAGAACAGAGGGTGGCAGACTTTTCCTTTAAAGGGCCAGATGGTAAATATTTTTAGGCTCTATGGGCCCTATGATCTCTGCCACTGCTAACCTGGCCATTGCCATTATAGCACAAAAGCAGCGATGGACAATATATAAACAAATGGGCATAAAACTTTACTTACAGAAGCAGGCAATACATCAGATTTGACCTTTGAGCCATAATCTGATGACCCCTGATATAGAAAAAAATTAATTTTTACAGTTATCTTGTCTCCAGACTTCATAATGATTTTTCTAATACTATATTTTAGTTGCGTCTATTATTTCTATGTGGGCAAATATACAAACAAAAGATCATTTTGTTCTAACTTTCCAATATATTTATACCAGTTATTCCCTTTTGTAGTTTTCCTGCATTGATGAGGTAACTCCAGAGCAATGCTGTAGTGCTAACAGGAGTTACTGTTTTGCTAATGGGAAGGCTCTCTTTTTTCACTTCCCAGTATGAAGTTGCTATTAGTTTATAAAAAATGTTCTTTATCATGTTCAAGTTTCAGATATGGTAGTTACATTAGGTATGTTTTAAGATCCCTTGTAATTCAAATTGTTTCATGACGAGGTTGTTACTTCCTGCTTTTTGATTATAGCTGTAGACAAAGGGGGAACTCCACTGAGCAGTACATCACCCCCATTGAGTGCCACTGACCTGTTTCTACTTAATGAATACTATCCAAATCTTCTGGTTCAATTACTTAATCCTCAAGACAACATATAAGAAACGTAATTCTTCCCAGGGATTAAGAAAAAGTAAGTAGGAAATGAAACTGTTTTGTTTTAGAGTTACTTAAGGTGTTTTCATTTAAGACCTTTCAATAAGAATAAATCACTGAAATGACCTTTGAGTAGTAAATGTAAAATTAATTGAAAATTCAATAATGTTCTAGATAGATTAGGGGTGAAAAGCTCAAGGAAAAATAAATTACCAAGACTTATATGAGAATAAAACCTACAATGTTTATTTCTGAAAAGCTTTGGTCCAACATGTAAGTCCATCAAGCACAATGCAACTTTAAAAATATGTATTTAAGAAAGTTAATAAATGCATATATGCTTTTATCTAAATAGTTTAAACTTTCCTCTAAATAAGCATTCATATACTTACAAAGGTGTCAGTGGGAGTTTCATATTCATATTCTAGGCTAAGATTGATTTATTGTTGCTAGGAAACGTAGTATTTCATTTAGTCAAAAGCTTTCAATTTGGAATTCACTTTCCAAAAATGAAATAAAACAAGTGCAATCAGTATTTCCATATTGACTTATTTAATTTCCCTGAAAAACTAAAAATTAGTCCAGCTATAAAAATATGAGGCACACATTAAAGAAGAAACATGTTTACCATCAAAATTGTGGCATTTTCTTTACAAGAACATTTCAAGGCCTAGATAATAAAAATACTTCAGGCAATATACAGTAAGTCTTTTCCTTTAAATAACAGCATAGAACCTTCTCAGGAATGCTGTTGTACATTATATCTATTATTTTACAATAACAGAGAGAAAATAAAATTAGGGATACAAATATTAAAGGCCAATCATCAAAATGAAATTAATGTTTAGCATAGACTCTTATTTATATGAACAACATAAATAGGTAGAATCATCAATTTGATTTAATATAAAATACATTTCTGGGATATAATTATTTCTAAATGAAAATTATCAAGTTTAATTCAACAAATTCAAATATTCATTCAGCCAAGGGAATAAAATAAGCCTCTTATAAATTCAAGATTTACATTAATATTAGAAATTTTCTCAATATGATACATAGAATATTCTGATCTCCACTGAATTACACTGTACAAAGACAAGTAGTAATTGCTATATAGCTTATAATCAGGTATAACTGGTCACTAAAATTTCTTGACCAAAATATCACTGTAATTGTATGAGGCAAAGTCCTATAATAAGATGGATATAATAATGGCCACATCTTTTCAAAAAGAGAATATGGAAGTTTTCATTTTCACAACTATGACTTTGGTTTTCCAAAATCTAGTTCCCAAAGCCAACTTCTAAATGTTACAGCAGAGGTGGGGCAGTAATGGAAAGAAATGATTTAATGGAACTCTGAAGAAAAAAATAACTACCATAGATCTTAGTTTGAGAAATATATCTGGCGTAAGAGATACACAGAATTATGTAATAATGCTTATATCAAAGTTTATTCGTTAGCTAAAGGGCAAAGAGTAAGAGGCAAGTAAAATGTAATATGTGCTTTTAACAAAGCAGACTGAGTAATACATTAAGTGTTAGGGTGGGATAGGAAAGAACTCAAGCTGGGCAAAAATCTCTTGGACTTTCTATGTAAACATCTATTTTAGTTTTGGACCATTCACCAGTGTGCTCATGTGATGGAGCAGAGGAACTCTGCCCGCCCACGAATACTTCCCCAACCAGCAGGTCCCTGTGCAGCTGCTCTAGAAGGGCAGCTTGTCCTCTGAGGTCCCTGGGGCCCCCGAGAGTGTGGAACTATAGGAAAATGGAGTTCAATTTGTGTGGAAAGTTACTTCTCCTAATTAGTGAACTGAGTTATTCAAATACGAGCTAAAAGTGCAGCCTCTAGCTAAAAAACATGGATGATTATCTGTCTTGAAAAGGCCTGTAAGAGCTCATGATGTGATCTTGCATTTACTAGCCCTGTGTTCTCCAAAATAAGGTAAGGGCTATATAAGGTCCTGGAAATCCTCAGCTTCCTTTAGCTGCCTGTCCAAATGACATCTTAATGAATATAGTTCAAGTCCTTTATTGGGTTCTGTAATCCCTTTAACCAAATGGGCTGCAGTTGTTTTATGCAACTTTTGTTTCACTGGAAAATGTGGGAGTGTATTTTGCTATTTCTAAGGAAGATGAATGGACAAACACTGTTCACCCCAAACCAAATGATGCTGCCTTCAGGGAGTTGTCAGAAAGAAAGGCAAATGATACACCCAGAAAGCACATGGTACGTGTAAGCAAAGCCCTTCAGCACAACCGGAACATGTTCTTTATGAGGAGGCTCCAAGCCACTTGGTAATTTCAAATGTGAGGCAACAGAAGTCTTTCTTAATCTAAAGTCAGAATCTTCTGAAGAACTTCAAGCACAACTTTATAACAAAAGAAATACTGCTCCTATATACATATATATGAAAAACAACAGAATGTTAAGCGGTTGAATACCCCAATATCCACTTTCAGAAAACATAGTTCTAATTTTCAACCGTAAAGGAAAGTTCCTGAAAAGAGCAAACGTTTAGCCAGGAACTTCTTTACGAAAACATATATTTTTTAAATATCAGGAAGAAAAGTAATATAGTGCTTGGTCTAGAATTAGTTAACTCAAGGCTTGGCTGAACAGAGGGGAAACTGACCCTCAATCTCAATCTCCTTATATTTCCCTGGATACATCACGTTTAAACTTTTTTTTTTTTTTTTTTAAGGTGTAGCCTCAGGTCTCTCAGGCAACCCAAGTTCAAAGAAAATGCTTCCTATCATTCAACATTGGCCTAAAAACAGGTTTTTAGGATTTAGGGGTTCTTGTTTGTTTTCATTATCCACACTCTTGATTCCCCCTCCCAATGATTAATAACTAATCTGTAACATCAATACTATCTTTTTATGACATGCCAATGACTTTGATAATTTAGTGGCAAGTAAATATCCCAAAACTTCTATCCAGAAACCTATGAATAACTTTAGATATGTTACTTAAATAACATGGCATCATGGATGGACAAAGCATGTGTTTGGGCATCAGGAGACTTCAATTTCCCACCTGGCTCCTCCACATACTATATGAATGACCTCACAGAACAGACTTCATTATTCTGAACGTGAACTACTTCATCAGTAATATCAGAGAAAAATTAATGTCTACCCCAAGCAGTGAGAATTCAATGATACCATATAGGTAAAAGAGATTTATAAATTATAACATGCTATACATGTTAATCTTTATATTCATTATTCTTTTTATTAGAATTTATATAGTGAGAGCTTACCTTCGTTTGAATCATGCCATAACGCTGTTCTCTCATTTGGGTCACTATATTCTTGATGTTGAACTGCAACAGGATGACAGTGATTTTTGTATTACTCACATAGGGGGAAAACACAAACCCACAGATTGCCAAATGAGTACTCCATAATTCTTTCCAGTAAAAGAGATGTCAAGATTTAACCAGAAAGTTCTCATTTCCAGCAATAAGAAAATGTACTATTTTTAACCTACTCTAATGGAGAAGGAAGACTTTAGTTTAAAAGGTTTCCAGGAAAAAGCAGGAAGCAATCATTTATAATAAGAAATGCTCTCCAAAAGAAATAACAACAAATTTGCCCCGGTGTCTACTCTTCTGTTCTCCAAAGGGAAAACTTAAAGCAGCACTGTAATTCTGGAAAAGTCTGAAGCATAGGATACTTTCTCTGGCCACATAGTAACACAGCTGTTTCTTATCTAAAGAGCCCTCTCAACTCAAATGGAGACCCCGAGCAACAGTTGGCCTGATACCAGAGTCTGCACCTGTGCATGCAGACCAGCCTAGCCAGTGTGGTTGCTGAGCTGGTGCAGGTCTGCAAGGAGCTGTTGTTATTACACAATAAGGTAAGTCCAGAAACTGGTAGTTAAGTGTTTAGAAACTCTTCTGGCAATCTGACAGCAGCATCAAGGAGCATTACTAGCAGAACAGGATATAGACCATCTCGGGATGCTGAACTTCCTAGAGAGTCACAAGGTGCAAGGTGAGGACCAGTCATGTTCAGCAAAACCACATCGATACATGAAATTTTAAGGTTTGTTATCTATAACCCCAAAATATATGAAAATCAGAGAAAATGTAACCAATCCTTTATATTTATAACTTTTCATTTTTATAATAATTTAAATTTTAATTGAGCCATTAAAAATTTTATACTGGAATAATTATAGATATACAATAAGTTGCAAAAAAAATGTACATGGAAATCCTATGTACCCTTCACCCAATCTCCCCAATTATGCCACCCTGTATAATTATAGTATAATATCAAAACCCAGAAATTGAGATTGGTATGATCCATGGAGCCTATTCAGATTTTGCCAGTTTTTCAGGCAATCATTTGTGAGTTTGTGTGTATGTGTTTTGTGTAGTTTTGTGCAATATTACCACACGTGAAGACTCAGGCAACTGCAACCGCAATCAAGATACATAACTGTTCCACCACAAGACTTTCTTATGTTATCCATTAGAACTACTCATCCAACCCAGTTCCTAACCCTTGGCAACCAGTCTCATCTGTTCTCCATATCGACCGTTTTGTTACTTTAAGAGGATTATATGAATGGAATCACATAATATCTAACCTTTTGAAACTGACTTTTTTTTCATTCAGCATAATTGCTTTGAGACCTATCCAAATTGTGCAAATCAATAGTTCATTCCTTTTTATTGCTTAGAAGTATTGCATGGCATGGACATATACCAGTCTGTTGAATCATCAGCTTGTAGAAGGACATCTAGGTTGATTCCAGTTTTTGGCTATTATGAATAGATCTACTATGAACATTTATATACAGGCTTTTGTGTGAATGTACATTTTCATTTCTCTGGGACGAACACCCAAGAGTGCTATTGCTGGAGTTGTATGGTAAATTTAGTTTAGTTTTGTTTCTGTTTGTTTTAAAGAAATTGTAGGGGCACCTGGGTGGCTCAGTTGGTCAAGCATGTGACTCTTGATTTTGGCTTAGGTCATGATCTCAGGGTTATGAAATCGAGGCCTGTGCTGGGGACTGCACTGACTGTGGAGCCTGTTTAAGATTCTCTCTCTCCCTGTGCCCCTCCCCCCACCCTGCAATTGTGCTCTCTCTAAAAAAAAAGAAGAGAAGCTGTAAAACTATTTCCTAGAATGAGTATACCATTTTACATTCCCACAAGCAAAAAATGATTAATCTATTTCTTCAACTCTAAACTAGCACTTGGTGGTGTCACTATTTTTTATATGTCTTTCTGATAGATGTCTAGTGATATTTCATCATAGTTTTAATTTCATTTCCCTAAAAGCTAATGAAGCTGAACACCTTTTTATGTGGTAATTTGTCATCTTTTTATCCTCTTTGGTGAAATGTCTGTTCATATCTCTGACCCATTTTCTAACTGGCCTGCTTTTTGTTTTTCGTTCTTTACTACTGAGTTTTGAGGATGCCTTCTATAATTCTAAATGTAAGACCTTTGTTGGATATGTGATTTGCAGTTTCTCCAAGTCTTTAGCTTGTCTTTTCATTCTCTTAATAGGGTCTTTCACAAAATTAATTATTTTAATTTGCTTTCCCCCTAATATTAGTAATGGCAAGAATGTTTGCTCTCACTGCATGTATTAAACCCAATACTTAAAGTTCTAGGTAGCTTAACAAGGCCAGAAAAACAAATAAGAGGGGGGCGGAGCAAGATGGCGAAGGAGTAGGAGACCTGGATTTTGTCTGGTCTCAGGAATTCAGCTGGATAGGGATCAAACCATTCTGAACACCTACGAACTCAAGGGGAGATCGAAGATAAGAATAGCAACTCTCTGAACGGAAATGCGACCACTTTCTGGAAGGTAGGACATGCGGAGAAGTGAATCCGAGGCGATATTCGGGAGGATAGACGGAGGGGGAGGGGGCCTCCGCTGGCCGCTTCTGGCAAGTGATAGAGCCGTGGAGCACAAAATCGGACCTTTTAGAAGTCGGCTCCGCTGAGGGACGTCGTTCCAGTGGCTAAGCGGGGGGTGGAACCCTCATGGGACAGTGTGGCCTCAAACCCTTGGGGTCACAGAAAAACCGGGGGTGCCTGAGTGCAGCAGAGCTCCCAGGTATTCGAGCGGGGAAGCCGGCTGCAGAGACGGAGCCGAGGCGCGGGCTCTCGGCTCGGGGTGGCCATAAACTGTGATCCGTGGCCCAGTCGGGCCACTGCTCCTCCAGCAGGGACCCAACAAGCAGCAGAGCCGGGGAGACTCCCCTCCCTCCCCCGGGAGGAGTGGCGCGGGAGCGCACCGCAGGGATCTGCTGAGTTTGGAGATTCCACATGGGGTCGGGTGCCAGAGATAGAAATGCTCGGTCACAGGCCAGGTGAGCATGGAGTGCGGCTGGAGGCCGGGGGGACGGGAGTGACTGCTTCTCTCTGGGGGCGCACTGAGGAGCGGGGCCCTGAGTTTTCAGCTCCTCTGGGTGGAGATTGGGAGGCCGCCATTTTCACTCTGGTCCTCCAAAGCTATACCGAGAGCTTGAAGGGAACAAAACCTTCTGAGAGCAAACCCGAGCAGCTTGCTTAGCCCGGACCGGCAAGGGCGGGGCAATTCCACCTCCGGCAAAGACATTTGGGAACCACGGCAACAGGCCCCTCCCCCAGAAGATCAGCACGAACAGCCAGCAAGCCAAGACCAAGTTTACTGATCAAGGAGAATGGGAGAACTCCAGCGCTAGGGGAATACTGCACATAGAATTCATGGCTTTTTTTACCATGATTCATTAGTTTTTCAAAGTTAATTTTTTTTAACTTTTTTTTTTTAATTTCTCTTTTCCCCTTTTTCAACCAACATCTTATTAATCCCTTTTTTAAAAAAACATTTTTTATTTTTCATTTTTAGAGTCATATTTTATCCCTTCATAGTAGTTACCCTTATTTTTGGCATATATATATAAGTTGTTCTCTCTTTAAAATTTTGAGATACAGTTTCTTCTAACAGATCAAAATATACCCTAAATCACTAGTGTATGGCTTTGTTCTTAGTCTCCTGCCTGATCACATTCTATCTTTTTTTTTAAAATCTTCTTTCGTTTTTCAAACAACTTCTTATCTTATCAATTCCTTTTATAAAACCTTTTATAATTTTCATCTTTACAGTCATCTTCCATCACTTCATTGTATCAACCCTTATTTTGTACATATATAAGTCTTTCTTCCTTTAAAATTTTAGGAGGCCCTTTTTTCTAACAGACCAAAATACGCCCAAAATCTAGTGTGTGGCACTGATCTATGCACTAGCCTGATCATATTTGATCATATTCTGTTTTTTTT